CTCACTGAAGGGCTCAGTCTCTTCATAACTGGTGTCAAAGAAATCGACCGTTTTCTTTTCAACAGCTCCTGAAAGATGGTGAAAATAAATTGTCACCAAAAAAAATGGAAAAAAGAAACGCAACATTTTCTGGAATGAGAATACTGTAGTTTTAGCTTATGTACTTTCACAAAAAGTTGTCAATTTGTTTTAAGCCCTCTGACCAGCAATACGGCTTGTGCAGTGAGGCATTGCAACTTGCCAATCACACGAAAGCTCGTTAGGTGCACTTTTTCCCCAACGAGGTCCAGGTGGGAAAAATGCCTGATCAGGTCACCTTTAAAAAGGCCTTAATTCAAAGCTTAGGTCACTGCAAGAAAAAGGCCACACTTAGTCAGTTTACTGTGCATCCCATAATGCCTCTAATGTCACCAGAAGCAAGGGAGAGGGCCATTGGTATGCTGCAGGCCAGCATGTCATGTGCCAGACACTGTGGAGTAAGCCGCTCCAGTGTGTCCTGAGTGCAGAGAAGGTTTCTGCAGACCGGCAGGATCCAGTCGCCCTCGAGTGACCACACCAGAGCAGGACCGACACATCAGACTGGTCCATCTGAGAGATTGTTTCAGATCTGCAGCCCTTACTGCTGCTGAAACTGCCAGCAGACTGCTGATGCCTGCATTAGTCACAGCACAGCACAGGCTCCATGCTGCTGGTCTTAGAGCAAGGCGTCCTGTCAGAGGTCCTCTCCTCACACCTCCTAGACATCACACCCGACTGGCTTGGGCCAGACAGAGGGGCTGATGGACTCGTCAGCAGTGGCATCAGGTCCTCTTCATGGATGAGTCACACTTCAGCCTGTTTCGTGCAGACGGGAGGGCCAGAGTGTGGAGGTGTTGCGTTTCTTTTTTCCATCACTACATACAGATATAAATTTATAATCAGTTAATTTGTATCAATAAATGAAGTGCGAGTGCAGTTTATAACACAGCAAACATCTCTTTTCATATGTTCCCGAATTGATACTCTTTCATAAGCTCTTGAAAATCTGCAGCTCCAG